AGTTTGAAGATCATTTTTGGTTGATGGTGATATTAAAGCGTTAGGTTGTTGTTTCATTATTGCAATTTAGGAAGTATGAAATTAGCTTGTGGTCTGAAAATAGACTGAGAATCATGAACTATCCAGTTATTTATGACATTTGAAAGTGTTGATAAAGAAGGGTGATTTTCAGAACTTGGAGGGGGGTCGATGCATCATTACGAATGAATAGATTGTTCAAAAAGATAAAGCCTTTCAAGGCTTCCCTTCTACAACCTTTTTTTTTTTTTTTCTTAATTCCAAATTGCATTAGGAGCATTAAAATTACCTCTAATCAGCTGATGAGTGTTTTTTAATTTTTATAGAATTATATTTAGTTTTTCTAGATTTCGTCTAGTATCTTCTAATATAGACAGAAAAATAATGTCATACTTAATTGTTGTTTTTCCAGTATTTAAGGCTATGGGTACAATATCTTTCTTGGACTATATGATGATGGGAGTCAAAGTTTTACTTTTGCATATTATTACAGTTCTAATATTACAATTTTCATTTGATGACTATTGAAACCAGTTCTTTGCATTTGGGATTGTACTTACTTTTCCGTTAATACAGTACTTCTCTTGAAGAAAGTTGAAATCGGTGTTGCTTTCCGTTATTACATGTAATAGATTCGAGTTTGTTGCGTGAGATTTCTGGAGATATATTTGTATTATTTTTATTGATCCAGAGAAAGATGTATTGAGAAGTATTGATGTAATTTTATGTTATGTTAAATACAAAAAAAAAATGTTTTACTTTGATTTAACTTATTTCTTTTTATTAAAAGTAAATCAATATTATTCTTAGTGGCATATTGAAATAACTGACCTGAAGCAGCTCTAGCTTTATGCAGATTTATTTGAATACGACGGATGTCTCACTTTCTAGAAATACCTTTAATTTTTATTTTCCCATATAACTATACAGTGTATCGTGTTTAACACTGCAATCAAATTTATTTGTTTCTATAAACAACGGCCTATTTAAATTTCGTATTACTACTTCTGCTTGATAAGAAGGGCATAAGAACGAATTAAGTGGGGGGGGGAGAAATTACAGTTTGTACATGAAGCTTGTTAAATGTACCGAACGATTTTCTGAAAGATACGGACAATATTGTTTCTAAATACAATTATGTATAGAATATCCTAATTCTTAGCAACGAAAACATCGAACTACGCCAGAGTGCTCAGTGATTCGCAGTGCTCTCCATCCATTAATTGCGAAACGTGCAGGTATATAGAATAGATTTTTAAAGCATTTAGAAAACGTTTTTAAACCCATTTAACACTGGCATTGCATTTTTCTGACAGTTTAAATGAGAGTTTAATTTCTAAACTTAGAAGTCTGATTGCAACGAAATGTCCTTAGTTAATCTCTTAGGTCAAAAACTATTCGATACATTATGAACCGCGTTTTCAGGACAACGTGGGTTAGGAATTTTAAGATTAAAATTCTTATTAGAAGGTTCTGATGTAGATATTTTTCTTTTAATTAATTCTGCATCTTTTTTATTTTGACATACAATTGCTAATTTCCTTTCGTAATTGGCTTAGCACGATGAATTTTCGTTCCAGTTTCCTCATAATTAAGGTTTTTTGCAGTTTTTCTGATTCAGATTTATTCTTAAACAAATCTTTTGAATATATAAGCAATGCAGGTTTTCTCCCACTATTCGTAGGTTTTTGAAATTTGAAATTTGGAGCTTTAATCGCATCAGAATATAATTTATTTTCAGTGTTAAATTTTGATGAAAAGCATCAAAGAATAAATTGTGATGTAAGCTGCCTGAGCAGAAATAGCTTTTTTTCGTATTCAGTGCGTAGAATGATTTTTTAACTCTAAATGCTGCACTTTTTCCTCGTGGAAAGGGGCATCATTGATCTGAATATATTTTTAATTTATTTAAGTTGTCCAAAAGTTGTTTTTGCAAGTGTATAGGCAAAATATATTTGCGCTCTTTAGATGTTGTGAATGTTATTATAGAAATTCTTTACATTTAAATCAATACCTTGAGCCAGATTTTGGACATCTTTAGATATTTATGAGTCGGTGCATTCACTGGAAGGACTTTGGCTCATTTTGTGGTATCAGAGTATTCAAGAGATTGAAAAATTTAAAATATGTCATACTATAATCAGCCGTCATCGTAACACAAAACGAAAGTAACGTGAAAAGGAAAATTCTCAAAAATACGAATACTTACATGAGGAACGTAAGTACTTGAAGGAGGTATAGAAAACAATACCCGAGTACCTTCTTTGAGCCGTTTGCTCGTTTTTCTCTAAGCCCCATAAATAAAATGCATGTCAGCGGGCTACGCGCTCGTGTAGCGATTGTTATCGCTGGAGATTGGCATGGGGAAAGCCGATTTACTTCAGCAGAATGCGATGATGTACTAGTTCTCAACAGTTCCCTGTACCCCCTCACCACGCCTTTGATTACACACACTTTCTGCACACCTTTTTTATTACAAAATCTGTTTTTTCCCCAATCCCCTGTACTTGTTTTGTATTTATTTTTGTTCTTTTTTGACAGATAGTTTTTAATCACTCCAAGTATAATCAATACTAACAAATAACTAGTACTATTGGTTTGGTTTATTTGGTTATGGCAAAGCACTCAAGAGATATCTGCCTAAGGGGAGGGATGGAGGACTATCTAAGGAAAACTCGTACACAGGCTGTTCCCACATTTCTAGACGATATTGCTATTGCAAGCAATGTATTTCTTAAAGTATAAATTATCATCTGCTACTTAACAGTTTTATTTTTCACGGAAAATGTCGCTTTCAAAGAAGAAATGGATGGAAGGCTATGTTTATGCTCCTTCCGAAGAAAATTATTCGTATCTGGTTGTTAAGAAACGTTATGAAAATAATGGTCTTTCGATATCAAAAGCTGTAATAGGTAACAACAGAAGGGAAAAAACGTCAAGATTTAGCTTTGAGTGAAAATCAAGTGTAAGTACAATTGAAAAAGCATTAAAATGCTCAGCGTCAAGTGTATATAAGGATGACTAATGCTCCTCAAAAACTTTGAAAAGGAAAAAAATATACACTGACTACCAATAAGTATTTGGACACCTGTGATAGAAAACAAAAAATAACTTTATTCAAATTCAATAGTTGGTAGAGCCTCCAAGAGAGGTAATTACAGCGTGGACCCTCCGAAGCATACTTTCCACAAGTCTTCGTAGGACAGCTAGTGGTATTTTCTTCCACTCGGCTTGGAGAAGACATAGAAGTTCCTTCACCGATTTTGCACAGGTAGTGCACCCCTGAATTCGGCGATGCAACTCGTCCCAGAGGTTCTCGATAGGGTTCAGGTCTGGACTCTAGAAGATGAACTCCATTTGCACCATATTAAGCCTTGGTTAACGTCGAAACATGACAACCGGCATTGTCGTCCTGAAATAACAGGGGTCCAACCGTAAAACTGCCACAGCGTAGGAAGCACATTGTCATCCAAAATAGTGCAGTAGGCATCGGAGTTCAGCTTACCATGAATGGGGACCTAGGGTCCCAGCCCATACCAGGAGAAACACACCCAGACCATAATTCCACCTCCGCCGAACTTGACTGTTGGCACAATGCATTCTGGCAAGAGACGTTCTCCAGGTAGACGACAGACCCAGACCCTGCCATCCGAACGGTAAAGGGTGAACCTTGATTCGTCACTCCAAAGAACCCGTTTCCACTGATCTACGGTCCAATGTCGATGTGCTTTGCAGCACATTAACCGAACAGCGCGGTTGGACTTTGTGATCAAAGGCTTATGGGCAGCAGCACGACCGTGAAAGCCAAGCAGATATGCTTCCTTACGGATAGTATTCATTGAAACAATACTCCCGGATGCCTGTTGAAACTCCTTGCTGATGAGGGCCATCGGTTGGGTGCGGTTCTTCCGAATTTCTCTGGACAGCACTCGTCTGTCTCTATCTCCCAGTTTCTTTGTTCTGCCGACTCGGGGCACATTCCGTCAATCACCGCTCACCTTCCACTTCTTAATCACATAGGCCACTGTCGATTTTGGGTACTTCAGATCGCTAGATATGTCCCTTAAGGATCGGCCACATTTGTGATACCCGATAATTATACCTTTCTCGAAATCAGAGAGCTCCGAACTGCGAGGCATCTTGCATGCGACTAAAGCCGATGCTGTTTCCTACACGATATATACCGGTGGAGTCCGTGGCGTACCTTGGCACCGCAGATATCGTCATTTGCATAGGTGTCCAAATACTTATTGGTAGTCAATGTATGTGCATTGTCTTTCTCCTCGACATATAGTCGAATGCAGGACGCGCTGAAGAATTCTTTATAAAAAACATGTAATGTTAATAAGCTATAATATTCTCAATGTTTAAGAAAGTCAAGAATTTTCCTCATTCTACGAACTGAAAGAAAACCATAATGTACTATTTAAGTGTTTTTAGACAGTATTAATTTTGTTTTGATACTACTGGAGTGCGCTATCTCGAAACCATCTGCATTTTTGTCCGTAGAAGATTTTGCGGATATGTTTTCTGTAAAAATTTGGACATTATATGCATCGAATATTTTCTTCTAGATGTGCTTTTGTTCTGAATCTGTACTCATTGAACGTTTTTGATACTGCTTTTGTTCGATGATTCTATTGCTCATTTATATTTCATTTTAGTTTTACTCAAGCAGTCCAATCTCCATTCAAAATTTCTAGGTTTTTCTCTTTTTTCTAAATACAGTTTTCTTAAGAAGCACTTTATCGTAAGAATTTATATGAATTATAGTGTAATTCACATAAATTCACAGTAAGTATTTTTAAAAAGCACAGAAGAAAAGGCAAATTAAGAAATGCTGCATATTGCGTTAATATGGCCTTTGCAGTTATTGTTGCGGCGTTCTATTTCCTTATCTTGCATCATCGATATAGCTTCCTGAGTTAAAGCATGAGCCAACAGCAATCAGCTCAAAAAGAAATGGAAATAATGCAACTTACAGACGCAGACAGGTATTGCATTGTTCCATTGCCCCCTGACGCATGTGGCGAATCTCTTTCCCGCAAGTTCATATCCGGGATCACAGAGAAACTTTGCTATCCGGCCTCTAGAACGGATTTTTACTCTTCCGTTCTTAAGCCTGTTTCGCATGTAAGGGCAACGGCCGTAGGAGGCTGAAAAGAAAAAGAAAATGATTAACACATAAAATTAAAATAGATAAACCAAGATAAGTCAATATTGAACTTTGTTATACTCGACAATTTAAACTTATTTAATGAAATACTTTGTTTTGCGTTTGACATATATCGAATTATAAGTAATTATGACTGAAGGCAGGTACAACTTTAATGCCCTTAGTTGCGATTAATATGTTGCATCTTAAGTGAAAAAGAAATTTTTTAACGTAATGGATGAGAATCAAAAGCTTCAAGCTATTAAAACTTCCTGATATCTGCGCACTGAATGAAATGAAAAATTATTCTATATTAAGTTTAAAAGGTTTTTCTCTTTTACGTTTAATCCAAATGTAAGCCAGCTTCTTTAACGTACAAGAGGACCAGTGACATTTATAACCGTATCCAAGAAAAAAAATTTTGATGCAGACACCATATGACTTCCTAGTACGGCCTATTAATTTATACGCATTTTCTGCTGCGTTTCATTTAAACTTATTTCCTAAGATTTCATTAGAGAAATATTTTTCATTCCCTTAATTCAGTGTTCACTTCGCGGCATAAAAATACATAAAACCTCAAAATGTTTTCATTAAAAATTGAAAAATATAGAAAAATGTAACACACCAAATACAGGTAAAAAAATTTTAAAAAATAATTTTTTCAATTAAAATTAGAGTTTCTAAGAAAAACAAGCAATTCGGCCAGCGTGTAAGAAAGCTGATTTTTCAATGCACAAAACTGAAAATTTACTTTTGGTCGCACTCCGCAAAAAGACACTGAAGGTGCAGAAACTGACTTAATTCACTATTCTGCGAACTTTCGAATGTAAACAAATATGGCTGCTCAGTCGCATTTAAACAACTTTTTACATAATTGATAATTCTATAACTATTGCATGTAGATCAATTAAAGGCATAAAAACCTTAACCGCAACATGAGGACAACATTATACAATCATATTTAAAGAAAAAATCCTTAATCTACCAACATATAAGAATAAAAAAACCGAGTTCGCCGAGCCGAATAACAGAGTAGGTATATATATTATTATTATGTTTGATGCTGCCGATTGCAACAAAAAAGGGAGATGCGCAACTACATGTTATAGCAGTCCTATATACAACATTTGAACATTCTGAGGCTACTCTTTTTTAAGTTATGCGAGATACCTACCTACATAAGTATGTACAGACTTCACGAAAAAAATTTCCTTTGAATCAATTTGAAATATATTTTGCAATCCCGTTTAGGGGAAAAGACTCCTTTATTCTCTCCTTATGTACAGATGTCACGCAAAAACATCGTTAAACTTCATTTGATAGAGGTTAAAATGTATATTTTTTGTTGAAAAATGATACCCGAAATTTTTCGTGTTTACAATACTTGCTTTATTTCGTACAAGGAAGTAAAAATGTTTGCATCTAATATGGGTTTATATAAACATGCTTAATATGCTGAATCTGTTTCATATTAAAAATATTACGTTGCTAAAATAACATACCTTAAAGAAAATCAATGTCTTCTCGCAATAGAATAAAAAATAGATAATTAATCTTCATATATTTTTAAATGTGAGATAGTTTAAGTATTATATCGTTTTCTGAAGATTATTATTACTTATGAATTTAAATATAACATAATAATTTAGACTATGTTAATTCCATCGGTAGTTAAATGGACAGCAATGCTCAACCTTGGTGATTTGATACAGTCTCGATCGAAGGGGACCATGATAGCGGACCGTTTGTCCATAGAATATCCTCCATGGTGGCAATCCTTCTTTTAGGCAGATAGCCCTCATTCACTTTGCTGTATTAAATTAAGCAATCAAGTGATAAATAGTGATACACAATTCAGAAATTATTGCTTCAATATATGCATTCCTAGGAAACAAAGAAATAATCTTCAGCCTGTTAAAGAATTACTGCCAAAACTGTAATTAATTTTTTAAAAGTAAATATTTAAATATAAGTTTAAAAATTTTATTATTACTCAATGAAAAAAGAAACATAACGTTTAGATAAATTGCAGGAAGCACTGCACAACTCAGAAGACAATATTTCTCTAACTTCAATTAATTAATCTTAAAATTTTAACAGCAGTAAAGAATATATCTTTGATCTTATTTCTATTATCCTTTAAAATTCGTTCATGAAATACGCTCTTTACATTATTTCAGAGGCTTCATTTAAAACACATAACACAAATTAAACGTATGAAAATTTTAACTATTATAACGGTAATAAATTTCAATTTACAATATGCTTATTTACAAAAGCACATAATCATTTCATTGTCCGGTAACTGCATTTGAATTGTTAATTATGCAAAGCTAAATTCTCTTCAATTAAATTTCAATAATGAAGGACATAATTCTTAATGAAAATAGATTATTATCTTCATTGCCTATGTTTCATACGTGAAAGCAATGTAATATTCAATCATTTATAACGTTCAGATCTTGTAATCTAAATATTTGCTTCTTAACAATAATTCAATTACTAGAAATATGTAGTGATTTTAGAATGCATTTAATTTCTTTTCCATCTTGATAGTTATTACCTCTTATAAGAAAGCATATTCGGAGTCAGCTCGTAAGCAGGCAATAACTAGATTGAGAGATATGTTAAATTTTAAAGATTATATTTTTTTCTTTCTTAATTCCCATTCGTCTTTGAATAATATGAGCAGTCTTTTGCCAATGGCATTAAATGTGAGCCATTTCTGCACCAGTTAGGTTTTTTAATGTCGTCTTTGAATAAAGGGATTTTATATAAATATTTGGGGAGCGTAATTCATCAAAATCAGTTATAAACATTTTCACGCTATATTTTAATGCTTAAGAAAAATAAGAAATGACAAACAACAACTCGCTGAACTGCATTAAATCTGCAATACGAAAATCCCCCATAAAACCGTCAGGCTGTAATTTTTATGAAATATTATTAATCACTTATAGAAATACGTACTATAATGCAAGGAATAATCACGGAAATGCATTCCACAATGCGACGAATATTACTTAAGGTGCAGTTTTGTTTGTTTAATCTGCATAAAAATATAAATCAATACCAGTCTTAAAATTTATCTAATTATAGTCCTTGACTGTAGCAGAAATAGCAAAAATAAACAAAACGTACATCACAGACAACAAGAAAAATATGATTTTCCAGTTTTTGGAAATCCTCAGCTTCACTTTTAAAAAAATCTTATGTGTACACCACACGAGTTCCTTGTACGGAATATTAAATTATACGCCTTTTTTCTTGCATTTCATTTAAACCTTTAGGACTGAATTAACGTACTTCGTCGACAGCGCATAAACCATAGTAGAATAAATGCACTTTTTAAAATTTATTATATTTGTTTAGCATAGCGACACTCGCTAGGTTCGCTTAACAGCGTTATATTTCGTTCATATTATAACTCAGAATGCACAAAATTTATATCATTTGAAGAATTATCTAATCGTTGCCACATGTTCTATTCAAATACTATAATAAATCTAGAACTACGTATACACGAAATTAAGCAAACAAACAAAAAAGAAACAGTTTTCCCCAGACGATTTAGTATTTCGCATTCAAATAATTCAGTTCTCGATTCGCGACAATGCAAAAATACATAAAAACTCAAAATATCTATATTGAAAATTACGAAGTAAATCTTAAATACTTATTTCCTCGGAAAACTTCCAGAGAGGATTAAGCATGATTTAATTCGCAATAATAAATGAAGGCGTTATCTTTGTTGTCGCGAAGCTTAGTCTCTCTAGATTAGCAACAAATCTACTATTCGGCTGTTTCAAATGTAAACAAATATGTCCGCCCTGTTATATAAAATTTAGGTTTAACCGCACTTAAACAGCTTTTAAATTGTTTATAATTGTACAAATATTGCTTGCAGATTTCCTAAAAGCCATAAAAACCTTAGCCGGAAGATAAGAACAACAAAATTCAATCATTTTTAAAGCAAAAATGCACAATTTGCAAACGTATAAGAGTAAAGAGACTGAGGTCACTGAGCCGGGTAACAGATTGGCTTATAAATATATTTATATACGTTTGGTGCGGCCAATTGCAACCAAAATACTAGGTGCACATATACATGTTATAGCAGTCCTATATACAAAATTTCAACGTTCTGAGGTTACTCGTTTTTGAGTTATGCGAGATACGTACGTACATACGTTCGTACAAACGCCACAAATTCTCTTCAGAATTCATTTTAAAGCAGTTTTATAATTTTTTTTTGGAAGAAAATAGTCTTTTATTATGTTCTTACGTACAGATGTCACGCAAACTCATCATTAAATTGCATTCGAAAGCGGTAAAATTGGATATTTTCGTTGCTGTCTGAAAATTTTCGCGATTACTATACTTCCTTTTTACTTCGTACAAGGAAGTAAAAATGTTACAAAAACTTACATTTTTGCTTAGGATAAAACAAGTTTAAAAGGGTGTAGCATGTGATATAAAGGATTATTGCTACATACGCAGCACAAAAGTTTCATATGAAATGGAACAGATAGTCAAAGAATCAATTTTAAGAAAACATTGATTTCATTTTGAAGAAAATTAAGATCATACTCTAGAAACTTTGACTTATTTTTCTTGACTTCTTAAAATTGCGTTCAGTGTGTAATAGTCAACCTTATATATATATATATATTTATATATATATTTATATATATATATATTATATATATATATATATATATATATCTATATATATATATATATATATATATGGAGAGCCACTTTGATTGGTATGCTGGTCGGCGCTGCTGGGTATCCTACCTCTGGGATCGCGTTCGAATCTCAGACGAGGCTTGGATATTTGTAATTGTATAGTATTTGAGCGGTATAGAGGCATTTAAAAAAGAGAGCTAAAGGCTTTCAAAAGACTTCATGACAGGGAAAACAGATGGAAGACTTCGTGCTAGCAGGTGTAAAATTAAGCGCCCAATGTGGTGCACTTTGTGCAAATTCGCATCA